AAGACTGACCGCCAGTGGCGGGGTAGTTATGTCAGTCAGACACCACCAGTGGACCCAGCCAACACCTCGTCCCTTCAGAAACAAGAATCTCTTGGCACGATATTCCGACCATTTCAGGCTTCTTCTCAATGAAATCAAAATTCACAGGTTCAGGATTTCAGAGTCCGGCTGACTTCCTATTCTTGCTGCTCCATCAGTGACTAATGATCAGCCTAACGGAAGCGTCCCTGGTCTCTGTCAGCCACGTCTGGATTCGGCACCAGATCGACCATCTTGGGTTTCTCCTTTGGGTGTTGCATCTGTCGTTGCATTTGTCGATCCGACCAAGATTTACCATACACGTGGAAACGTGGAACGTTCGAGTCGCGCTTCTGCAGAAAGCTTTCATCGCCGCCAGACATCCCATCCGCCTTGTCGGGACATCTCTCGCCAGATATGCGTAGCCTTGCAACCTGATACGTGCGCTTCTGGCATTCATCTCCAAAAAGACCTTGCCGGCTGGCGCCGGACCAAGCCGCCCCCCACCAAGCAACGCAGTCGGGCGATTTCACTCTGCTTTTGCCGAGTTCTGATCCTGCAAACCCACCCTCAGGAGCCATCTCATTTGCTGGGCTATAGACGTGACGTTGGCTCCGATATGTGGAGGACCTGCGTCATTACCGCCCCAAGATACAGCAAGGAGGTGGGGCAAAAGCTCCAGCATTACACAAGACGCTCCGACGCGATGGAGGGGCAAAGGGTCGCGTTGGCTGGCTTTTGGAGAGGATCAGGAGGGGGAAGACATGGAGAACACGGGCTATCGCAGAGGGGCAGGTCGGCGAGAAGCTGTCGTGGCAGCCTACTTAAGGCCGAGAGGCCCCCTCCGCTAGACCTTGGTAGGATGTGTGCTCTTTATTCTTTTTACACGATACCCTTGCTTGACCTGTCTTATTCGCTTCAGAGTTTGAAGGCTTCTTACCTACACTTTAACGTACATCAAAATGTCGGGCACTACGCAGACCAGCCGTACCTTTACCCTCAACACGGGGGACAAGCTACCCGCTGTCGGCCTTGGCACCTGGCAGTCCAAGCCCAACGAGGTCAAGCACGCCGTGGAGGCCGCGCTCCGCCAGGGCTACCGCCACATTGACACGGCGCTCGCGTACGGCAACGAGCGGGAGGTCGGCGACGGCATTAAGGCGTCGGGCGTGCCCCGCTCCGAAATTTGGCTGACGACCAAGCTCGACAACCCATGGCACAAGCGCGTCCAGGAAGGCATCGCTTCTTCGCTCGAGAGCCTTCAGACCGACTACGTCGACCTCTACCTGATGCACTGGCCTTCCTCGACCGATCCCGAAGACCTCAAGAAGCACCACCCTGACTGGGACTTTGTCGACACGTGGCGCGAGATGCAGAAGCTTGTCGGCACCGGCAAGGTTCGCAACATTGGCGTGTCCAACTTTGGCATCAAGAACCTCGAGCGCCTGCTCAACGACCCCTCCTGCAAGATTGTCCCTGCAGTCAACCAGATTGAGCTCCACCCTTGCAACCCATCGCCCAAGCTCCTCGAGTACAACGCATCCAAGGGCATCCACTCGACGGCGTACTCGTGCCTCGGCAGCACCGACTCGCCCCTGTACAAGAACGAGACGCTGCTGAACATTGCCAAGGCCAAGGGCAAGACGCCTCAGCAGGTTCTCCTCCTGTGGGGTCTGAGCCGCGGTACCAGCGTCATTCCCAAGTCCGTCTCCAAGGAGCGCATCGCCGCCAACTATGAGCTCGACGGCTGGGAGCTGACCGACGACGAGATTAAGCAGCTTTCGAGCATTCCCGACCGCTTCAAGGTGTGCGGCGACGCGTGGCTGCCCATCAAGGTATTCTTCGGCGATGACGAGTAGACCAGGGGCGGGGGAACGAGGAATAAAAAAATACATGTAGAATGAATACAAATGAAGAAATGGTCACCACCTTGATGCTGTAGAGGCTTAAAGCTTCGATTTCCGTCTGTCATCTGCCTCTTCCTTGAGCACCTCAGCCACCGCCTCACGCAGGTCTCTCGCGAGGACCTCGGCCTCGTCATCATCCAGCTCCTCCCTCTTTCCCCTGCCAAACATTGTGAAGCTCTCGCTGAAACGGCCGCTCGCGCGAATCTCGGGCCGCGGAATTAAGTGGTAGTGCATGTGCATGACGACCTGGGCGGCGGCGGCGCCGTTGTTCTGCACAACGTTCCAGTCCTCGACGCCGGTGACTCTCGCCAGCGCGCGGGATAGTGTTCGTAGGAATCTTCCGAGCTCGGCAGCTTCAATCTCAGAGGCGTCGGTCAGCTTGGGTCTATGCGCGCGAGGGCACAGCAAAAGGTGACCCCTCGATAAGGGCATAATGTCGAGGAAGGCAACGAGTGTGTCGGTAGAGAGGACGACAAATGAGGCGGGAGATGTCCGCGTCGGGTCCATCTCGTGATCTGACGGCGGCTCGAGGGGGTCATAGGGCGAAAATGTGTCGGCAATGGCGCAAAACGGGCAGTTCGCGTCCGTTGTCTCGACGCCGGTGTCGAATACAGGCGTCATGATGGGTGGTCGGTGGGAGGGTCGTCGAGATATCCGATCAGCTTGTTCATTATCCGCAAGTCGTGTCACGGTCGGTTGATGGCCAGAGATCGAATTCCGTGTCTAACTACATGAACGTAGGATCAAGTCCATGTGGTCCATGTGAAATGGGAGCTGTAACTGCACGAGATCTCGGCGATTGAACCTCGGGAAGTGGGCCTGGGCAGCCGGCGGCTGACCGCCTTCGACTCGACATAAATTCTGCCGCCATCCGACCTCACCGCCCGGCGAATTGTCATCCACAGGACTGCCCCACGCTACAGCCTTGCATCGAAGAAAGAAAACTTCCCATCACGACCTTTTGATCGACAACCCAACCATCCGCTCCGACACAACCCACGAAAACCTGCACCATGTCCCGCGAAGCCTACCAAGTTCCCACCGGCCAGGGTTCCAACCCCGCGGCAACCGGCAAGTCCTTTGACGCCTATGGCGGTGGCAGCAGCAACGAGGTCGGCCCCCAGATGCAGTACCTCTGCGGTGACTGCGGCCTCAAGTTCCAGATGCGCCGCGGCGACGCCATTCGATGCAAGGAATGCGGCTGTCGCATCCTGTACAAGGAGCGCACCAAGCGGTACGAAAGCTGACTTGCTCTCGCGCGGGTAGGCGCAAGCTAACAGTGTATAGCATGGTTCAGTTCGAGGCGAGGTGATTGCTGCATGGACAATGACGGGATGGACGAACTATGCATGAGGCTACGAGGTGGTGTGGCGAGGTCTGCCAATGCGGGACATCCAAGCTGCGGTGAATCCCAGGGGGCGGCCACGGAGGTCACAGGTCACGGAGTTTGGTGTTGGTACATGCTTGGGAGATGAACATTCCAGGTATCTTCTTTTGATCGCAATGCAGTTATTCCTAAACGCCAGTCCAGCTAAGCCCCCAAAGTTTTGCGTCGTCAATTTATTTCCTCTGCTGGTGCAGGTATTTGGCAAAGCTGGCGTCTGACATGACCGAATCGCCTTCGGCGAGCATCGAAGCTTCGTACCGCGCCTGCAGGCCCTCCCTGTCACCCTCCTCGTCCGGCATGTCATCGTCGTCAATGTCGCTGACAACGTCGGGCCCGTCATCGAGGGCGTCCGCTTCCTTGGCCTTGTCCTTTTTGTCTACGGAAAGTCCCTTCATCATCTTGTCGACCTCGGCCTCGCGCGTCTGGCGTTTCTGGTCTTCCCTCTCAGCCCGTCTCCTCTGCAGCTCCGGCAGGTAGTCTCTGTTGAACTCTTCCGTCTTCTCCTCGACAGCCTGGAAGAACTCCTCCATGCCGGTGCCGAGCTTGGAGCTCACGGGCACGAAGCTCAGGTGTGAGTAAAACTCTTCGAGCACAAGACTCATCGAGTTGAGCAGGCTGCCCATGTAGCCGGAGCCGCCACCGCCAACACCCTCCTCGCCCGCCTCATCTTCCTGCAGGGCCGCTTGGAATGCTTCAAAGTCTGTCATCCACTCCTTCGCAAAGGAGGCGTCCTTGACGTCGGTTTTGTTGAAGACGAGAATCATGGGTAGTTTTGTCTTATACAGGATACTGCAGGCGTATAGCATGTTGCTCATAAAGGTGCTGGTCGAAGCGGTGCGTGGCGTGTCGATAACGTATGCGATGATGGTCGGGAAGGAAGAGGCGAGTGATTCGAGGAGGATCGTGCCGCTGGCAGACCAGACGAAGACCTCGATTTGGCCGGCTGCGAATGTCAGTCACATAACGTGGATGAGTCGTCGCGAAACATACGTGTGTCCACAAGAATGTTCTTGATGGGCTCCTTGTCTGGGTTCGCTGAGTCGGGTGTCGTCCTTCTCTCAAGGAGGTTGACAATCTGGTCAACCTTGGTCGCGAACAGGTTCAGCGACGTCAAGATGCCGCCGTTGGGGCCCAGGTTGTACTGCTTCATAACCTCCTCATAGTTGACCGAGTCGCGAATGTCAATGTTGCTTTCAAATGGGACGTTTATCACAGCAGGATCAAGGTTGATGACATAGGGAGGCTCTTTTTTGCCGTGGAGATACGAGTTGATACGGCGCATAAAGGTTGTCTTGCCGGAGCCTGCGAAGCACATCACATTAGCGGAATACCGGGGTGTTCAGACGGGAGGTGCATACCGGCCATGCCAACGCAGACAATGGCGGGCGGCTGCTTGGCAGTGCTGGAGGGCGGAGCTGAAGAAGCCATGTCGAGGGGTCGGTCACGCCGGGAAAGATGGAGACTGTCGCGGAAAGAAAAAGGTGCAGACCTCGACGGCGAGTTTGGAGGTGAGAGAAAGATGCCCCGCGGCAAGAGCGTGGGGCAGCGCAAGGCCTGTCAGGATCCCTGCACTGGTCTCGATTTCCGGATGTGGGACGTGCACTACAGCTAGGTACATAGGTATGGAAAAGTGACGTCTGATGGATGGGTCGCTCGCAAAGTCTGGTCCGTTTCGCAACACGGCCAAAATGGACGGACTCGACGATTTCGAAAAGGCGCTCGCAGCGGAAAAGGGCGAAAGAGAGCGGATTGAGCGGGAAAAGGAAGAGAGGAGACAGCGCAAGAAGCATCGACACAGCCACAGTCATCGAGACGAACGCGACGAGCCATCGGAAAGGCATCGAGACAAGGATCGCGACCGACACCGATCCCATGGATCACGACGCCACGACGGAGAAGACGACGAGCGCAGGCACCGGCGCCATAGATCGCGACACCACGAAGACGACGATGACAACGGCCACAGGCACAAGCGATCTCGCCGCGAAAGGGACGACGACGCGTCAGAGTCGAGGCACAAACGGCGACGCGACGACCACCACAAGACTTCCGACCCCAAGGAGGACCTTCCTCTCCCGGACGAAGAGAAGACGCCGGAGATTGACGAGAAACCGAGCGCCGCTATTGTCCGAGATGCTTGGATGACAGCGCCGTCTGCACTGGACGTTGACTACGTACACCGACGCGAAAAAGACCAGAAGCCCCCACCAAAGGACGAACCTCCCCGAGTCGTCCATGAACGCGAGATCAACAAGGAGATTGATGTTCCCGAGGCCAGCCTACCGGATACCCCAGCCGAAAGAACTTTCAACTACAGGTTTGGAGACTCGGGCTCCCAGTGGAGACTGATGAAGCTCAAGGCTGTCTACACCGCGGCTGAACAGAGTGGGCGTACACCAGAGGACGTGGCTCTTGAACGATTCGGCGACCTTCGAGAATTTGACGATGCGCGGGAAGAGAAGAGCGAGCTAGATCGGAGACAGATTTACGGCGAGGGCTACGTCGGCAAGGAGCAGCCGACGGGCGAGCTCTATGGAGAGCGCATGGCTAAGCTGAGCATCACACGAAAAGCCACCAATGACGCGCCTGAGGAACCGGAGCAGGGCGTCGTCATCCCCGATGAGCCCATGCAGCACACGCCAATGGACCAAACCACCCTCAACAGGCTACGTGCGCAAATGGTCAAGGCCAAACTGATGAGGGCCCCCAATGCCGCCCAGCTCGAATCAGAATACAACGCAGCCGCGGCTAGCTTTGCGACCAAGGGCCCTCAATCCGTCACGCTCGGTGCCCAGGACAACAGGATGCTTGCCGGCAGCCGAGGCGAGGTCAAGGCCGTGGAGACGAAGCGCGGGCGGGAGAGGGGCAATGTGGAAGCCAATGATGACATGACCATCGAGGACATGGTGCGCGAGGAGCGGCGGACGCGTGGGCAAGCCGGCGGCGAAGGCGCTCGACTGGCTGAGCGGATCGCCAAGGATGGCAAGTTTGACGACGACCTCGAGTACTTGGACGAAAATGCCGACAAGCTCGCGAAACGGGTGCACAAGTCGGAAATTAACCTCAAAAACGTTGCCGTCAACGAATACCAGAAACTGAGCCGCATCCTCGACAACTGTCCGCTCTGCTATCACGAAGACAAGAACCAGCAGCCGCTGGCGCCCGTGCTCTCGCTGGGCACACGCGTCTACTTGACTCTGGCGACAGAGCCCGAGGTCAGCCCCGGCGGTGCTGTCATTGCGCCCCTGACGCACCGCAAAAACCTCTTGGAGTGCGACGACGACGAGTGGGAGGAGCTGCGCAACTTTATGAAGTCTCTGACGCGGATGTACCACGACAAGGGACAAGAGGTCATTTTCTACGAGAACGCAGCGGCACCGCACCGCCACCTCCATGCGGCCATGATTGCAGTGCCCATCCCGTACGAGGAGGGCGCCATGGTGCCAGCGTACTTCAAAGAAGCATTTCTGTCCGCAGACGAGGAGTGGGCGCAACATCGCAAGGTCATTGACACGGGCGCCAAGGCGGCTGGGGGTATGGGCCGCATGGCGTTCCGGCGGTCGATTGCCAAGGAGATGCCCTACTTCCATGTCTGGTTCACGCTGGACGGGGGCTTGGGTCACATAATCGAAAACTCGGACAAGTGGCCGCGGGGTGATTTGTTTGCGCGAGAGATTGTCGGTGGGATCATGGACGTCGGGCCAGACGTCATCAAGAAGCAGGGCCGGTGGAGGAGAGACGACACTCGAGTCGAGGGTTTTCAGAGAGGATGGAGAAAGTTTGACTGGACGAGGCTGCTCGCAGAAGGGTAGGTAGCGACGTACCTAGCGTTTGAAGATATAAAAAGCTCAAGGGCTACACTCAGACTGACCGAAGCGCGTGGAATGGGCACTCCACATGAATCTTCTACTTAATACAGTCCAGACACTGTGCACTTCGCTACGTCCCGGCTGGCAGGGCGGCCGGATCGCCCGGAACGAGCGCTAAGGAGCCCCTGTCACCGACGCTGTGCAGTGCTTCCCCACACAGAGACTGTGTACGTGACAGCCTCCGAGGCAGGATTGGTGGTGGGGGCAGATCCTTGGCTTGGAGATCCCTAGGCCAAACAGGGCCCAACTGGGCAGACCCCAAGGAGCCTGAACGGGGGCCGGCACACCCGAGTGAGGCGCTGTTCTCAGCATCAACAGGGGATCGATGCCGTGAGCGGCGACCAAGGACATCCTGCGCCACTTGAAACTGCTCGTGCCAGCCGATCCTTTTCATCGTCTTGCCTCCCGACATCTTTTTCACAGAGACGGACGATTCGAGTCCTCTAACCGCTCATCACAACGACGACGACGACGACTTCCATCACAAACCGCCATCCCGTTCAACCCATCACATCAACCGCTCTTCCAAGACTGTCGGCCATCGGCGATCGCGCTTGACCCCCGTTTCCAGCCTCGCCTCTGTCGTCATTGAACCGTGTGTCTCTGTGCGCCCAGTACCCTTGGGGTTCGTCAGGGAGACGTAGCGGACATTTCATTCCACCTGCCCTTCTGGCTGCTGCCCACCTTATCTCTACACGATCAAGGAAGGGACCCTTGACAAAAGACCTAACCATTTTCCAATTAACCCCCAACACCATGTCCTGGGACCTTAGCCGTCGCCGTATCATCCGCACCGTCAACTCGAAATACATCTACGGTCGCCTGGTATGTTGGGCCTCTGTTTGCCACTGGTGATCCGGCCTGCTGACTGACGATGCAGCCGCTGGTGCACGCCATCATCTTCTTCATCGAAATGGCCCTCGTCGCGAGATTGACGGCGCGCTTCAACGCCTACTACGATGAGCGACCCCGTACGTCCCAGTGCTCCCTGACACACACACCTTCTTTGTGGCCTTGCTAATCTGACCCACCTCCAGTCATGACCATGATGGTCACCAATGCCATCCTCGGTGGCATCGCCGACACGACTGCCCAGACCATCACGGTGCTCCGCCAGACGGCGCTTCGTCAGCCGGGTGGCGTCGGCAAGGACGATGATGTGGCGATTGAGATTCACGAGCTCGATCGCAAGAACCCCCTCATCGACCGCGACCTGATCCCCGATTCGAAGGCCCTGCCGCCGCCGTTCGACTTTGAGCGCCTCACCCGCTTCATGGCCTATGGTTTCTGCATGGCGCCGCTCCAGTTCAAGTGGTTCAAGTTTCTGTCCTCGACGTTCCCCATGTCCAAGACGTCGGCGTTCGGTCCTGCCATGAAGCGTGTCGCGTTTGACCAGCTCATCTTTGCGCCCTTTGGTCTCGGCGTCTTCTTCACCGCCATGACGGTTGCCGAGGGAGGAGGCCGCCGTGCCGTGTACAACAAGCTGCGCGACATGTACGTGCCGACGCTCAAGGCCAACTATCTGGTGTGGCCAGCGGTGCAGGTCATCAACTTTCGCCTGATGCCCGTGCAGTTCCAGCTGCCGTTTGTGTCCACCATTGGAATCGCATGGACGGCCTATCTGTCCTTGAGCAACTCGGCCGAGGAGGTGGACAACAGGCCTAACCAGCACGCTTCTGACATTCGCCTGTCCTAGGCTGACTACCTGATCAACTGATTTTCATTTGTCTGGTGGGTGCATGTTTGGCTGATGCCCAGGATGCATCACAGGCGCTGGGTGTTGGGCGCTTGGATTTTTTTTCGATTTTTTTGGTGGTTTCTAGATGCATTTACAATGGCAAGTTGTTCAAGTGCTCGTCTTTGTGATGAATGAGTGCACGTGAAACGACTACCTCGAAATAGACCTTGCGCTTCCGTTTCGCATCTGCATATCGACCGGCAGAAGACGGGAGGCCGGCTGGTGCTCGGGCGGCGACGGCAATCTTTGAAGGTCTCTGGCCCAGTCGATGGATGCAAGCAGGCACCGCTGCCCCTCACTTCAGGTTCAGCGCCCGCGCCGCGCCAGAGCCAAAGGGAGCGCCAGCACCACCAGCACGAGCACCGGGACTGTCGCCCTGCCCAACAGCTTCTAGCCCCCCTGCCCGCCAGAAGCGACCCCGCCAAAAATGCAGAGTGATCTAATGCCATCACCCCACCACAACTGAACCTCCCATCCCACCTCCTCGACCCTATCGAAGCTCTGCGTGCTTTTCTTCTCGACTGCCATTTGGGAAAAAAAGCCTCAGGACTTTTTGCATCACCAGAACAATAGACATTGCAAATTCGCCATCATGTCGCTCGCCAACAAGCTCTCCATCAACGATGTTGATCTCAAGGACAAGAGGGTCCTGATCCGCGTACGTTGTAACGCGGTGGGAAAGCTCTCGCAATGCCAATGCTAATCATTGACGCAGGTCGACTTCAACGTCCCCCTCGACGCCGACAAGAAGATCACCAACAACCAGCGCATTGCCGGTGCCGTGCCCACCATCAAGCATGCCATTGACAACGGCGCCAAGGCCGTCGTCCTCATGTCCCACCTCGGCCGCCCCGACGGCAAGGTCAACGCCAAGTACAGCCTTGAGCCCGTCGTCGCTGAGCTCGAGAAGCTGCTCGGCAAGTCTGTCCAGTTCACCAAGGACTGCGTCGGCCCCGAGGCTGAGGAGGTCGTGAACAAGGCCACCGGCGGCCAGGTCGTTCTGCTCGAGAACCTACGCTTCCACGCCGAGGAGGAGGGCTCCTCCAAGGACGAGAACGGCAACAAGGTCAAGGCCGACAAGGCCAAGGTCGAGGAGTTCCGCAAGGGCCTGACCGCTCTTGGTGACGTCTTTGTCAGTACGTAGCAGCCAGCTTATCCAGCGTTGCCCCTCCGAGCTAACAAGGCGCAGACGACGCCTTTGGCACCGCCCACCGCGCTCACTCCTCCATGGTTGGCGTCGACCTGCCACAGAAGGCTGCCGGTTTCCTCATGAAGAAGGAGCTCGACTACTTTGCCAAGGCGCTCGAGAACCCCCAGCGCCCCTTCCTCGCCATTCTCGGCGGCGCCAAGGTCTCGGACAAGATTCAGCTCATCGACAACCTCCTCGACAAGGTCAACACGCTCATCATTTGCGGTGGCATGTCCTTCACCTTCAAGAAGACTCTCGAGGGCGTCTCCATTGGCGACTCGCTCTTTGACGAGGCCGGCTCAAAGACGGTCGGCAAGCTCATTGAGAAGGCCAAGGCCAACGGCGTCAAGGTCGTCCTCCCCGTCGACTACATCACGGCCGATAAGTTTGACAAGGACGCCAACACCGGCACGGCTACTGACGAGACTGGCATCCCCGACGGCTGGATGGGTCTCGACTGCGGCGAGAAGTCGATTGAGCTCTACAAGCAGGCCATTGACGAGTCCAAGACGATCCTGTGGAACGGTCCCGCCGGCGTCTTTGAGTTTGAGAAGTTTGCTCGCGGCACCAAGGCCACCCTCGACGCTGCCGTCGCTGGCTGCGAGGCCGGCAAGATTGTCATCATTGGCGGTGGTGACACGGCCACCGTGGCCGCCAAGTACAAGGTCGAAGACAAGCTCAGCCACGTTTCCACCGGCGGTGGTGCGTCGCTCGAGCTCCTCGAGGGCAAGGAACTGCCTGGTGTCGTTGCTCTGTCGAGTAAGTAGGCTGTCAAAGCCATAAGCTGTCCGATGGCGTCCGGTCTGACGATCGGGAAGCCGTAGGCGCGCCTCGTTTGTAATGCCAGACTGCCGAGCCCAGTATACCTAGATATCACCACAAAAAGAAATGGAAGCTTGAACGTCGTTGAATTATCAACCATCGCCGCACTGCATGCTGTATTTTGATGTCTCGTGCTGATCTGTTGAGCCTGTATCGTAACACGTCACGCCCTTGGCCTTCTGCCAGGACTTCGTCTTTCGAGCACCGCCCCGCGCCCGCTTTCTTTCTTTCTTTGCTCACCGTCGCTTCGACGCCTCGACCTTCTTCAGCTCCTCCCTGTCACTCGTTAGCGTGCTGGCTCATCAGGTCATTGGGCGAGATCGGGCGACACCCACTTGAGCTGCGCGGAAAAGTCATCGTTCGTGTCGTCGTCGTCCCAGCTCTCCTCCCACAGGTGCTGCGTCGTGTTGTTGCCACCCGCGGCCTCCGTGTCCTCCTCGTTCCAGTCTGTTACGGTTAGCAACGGCGCAAAAGTGGCAATGCAGGCATTTCGCACCATCGACGGGAAAGTCCTCAAACTCATCGTCCTCGCCGAGCGCCGCGGCGGTGGCGGGCTTCTGCGTCTCTTCGGCCTTGGGGTCCTGCGCCGTCTTGTCGGCGGGCTTGATGTCGGAGGAAGCCATGGTTCTTGCTTGCTTCTGTGATTTGGGTGTTCCGCGTGTGGTTCTGTCGGCAGGGTCTCGATTGTCGTCGCGTTGGACGGGGGTTGGGATCGCTTTGGATGATGGAAGGTTGGAGGTTGCAATGGAAGTCGGGAAGAGCTGCCAGCTGCTGCCCTGTGCTGTAGGCTGAAAGGGCGACGTTTGCCGTGCCGCTAGCGGGGGCCTGGACAGGGATAGTGAGTGTGGGCCGGGAGCCTCACACTAGGTACGACGTACCTACTGTTGCCCTTCGTTTTCAATGATATGGGACGGAGACTACGCATTGTTATCCGATCGCATGTATTGGCCCTACTGCAAACAAGGGACAAAGGCGAAAAGTAGCCGTGTTGTATGATTATCTGTCTACGCTTTCCTAAGCACTCTGCCTGAACTCCGTCTTCTATCGTAACACATCGTAACAACAAGAAGACGTTAGCCATCCGTCTCGACAGCCTCGCTGCCTTCTTCGTCTTCGTCGGCAACTTCGCGACTGTCCCCCTCTTCCTCTTCCTCCTCCTCGTCTTCCTCCTCGCCGTCTTCTTCAGCTTCCTCGGCTTCGTCCTCCCCCTGCTCCTCTGCCTCTTCATCTTCTTCAGCCTCGTCGCCCTCTTCAGCCTCTTCAGCTTCATCACCTTCCTCAGCTTCCTCCTCGTCTTCCTCCTCTTCCTCTTCCTCTTCCTCTTCCTCTTCCTCTTCCTCTTCCTCTTCCTCTTCCTCTTCCTCTTCCTCTTCCTCTTCCTCTTCCTCTTCCTCCGCCTCTTCGTCATCTTCTTCATGTACGCCAATGGTCTCGTCTTCCTCATGGTCCTCCATTGTCTCATCTTCCTCATGACCTTCTAATGTCTCGTCCTCGTGGTCACCGAGCGTCTCGTCTTCGGGGCCAGCGAGAGTCTCGTCTTCCTCGTGGGCTTCCATGGTCTCGTCTTCAACGTCGGCGTCGACACCACCCATCGTCTCGTCCTCCTGCTCGTCCTCCTGCTCGTCCTCCTGCTCCTCGTCATCCTCCTCGTCAGCCTCGTCGGCATCCTCATCGCTGCTGTGATGCCCATCCTCGGCCTTCATGTCATGGAACAGCATAGATGGAGGAGGCTCCTCATCCCAGCCCTCAGGCACATCGCTCAGGTCGCTCTCGTCGTCGGCCGAGTCGTGGATGCTACCGCGAGGACTCGACGCTGCGGTCATCTGGGCCGTTGCATCGGGATCGTCGCCCTCGTCGATGGTCGGCTCATCCTTCATCTCGGTATCATCGCCGACGGGCTCCTCCATGTCGGAGCGGTCGCTGGCCGGGCTGCCAGCTTCGCCACCGTTGGGCGTGTTGCTGCCGCGCTTGCCGCTCGAGATGGAGCCTAGACGAGACTTGGATGCGAGGCCGGCAGATTTGGGCGCCTCCATGGCCCGTGTATAGACCTGCTCGGCTCTGCGCAGAATGTCCGGCCGGCGGATGCCCACCTTTTTACGGGGCAACGCCTCGGTTTGCTTCTCGCCGTCTCCATTTGCTTCCTGACTGCCTGGCGGGTTGAGAATGTTGGTGAGGGTGCTCTGCGGCTTCAGCGAGTTGGACACGTCGTTCTGCGCCTCCTCCCTGGCGCGGGCGCGGGCGCGGGCCTCGAGCACTTCGCTTGGACTGGGTCCCGGCAGCGTGGGACCAATCTCGAGGTACAAGTAGGTGTAGCAGTCGTTGATGACCTCGTCAATCGCGCCGGCTTTCATGAGACCGCCATTGAGCTTCTTGAGCTCGATGGCCTCCTTCATGCACTGCAGGACTGGCAGGTCGCCTGCAAACTCGCCGGCCCACTCTGCGAGACGGTCGGCCATGATTTCGAAATCCTCCGTCGCGACCAACTTGAACTTGTCTTCCTCAATCGGTCGCACCTTATGGCTCTGTCGCAAGAGAGCAAGGTATGAGTGGCAGCAGGTCTGCCAGAGGTCCGCAAAATGGTAAAACTCGGTTCCCTTTTTGCGAATACGCCGCAGGAGCGCTTCGAGGCTGACCCTGTCGCTCATGACTACAAGAATCTTGACCATGAGGCGCACATATTGCTCAGTAAAGACGTGGTGCCGCCCGGGCCGTTCGGCCTCGCATTTCCAGACGTTCATGACCATTGTCTTAGTGAACATGGACTCTCGAAGCACGTTAAAGGCGGCCTTGGCTTGCACATAGTCGGCGTGGGACTGGGCCGAGTCGTCGAATAGCAGACGCGCATGACGGACAATCATGCGGTGTTGCCAATTTGACTTGTCCTTGTCACGCAGGTGCCGCAGACTTCGGATCACGTACTCCTCCCAGTCCTCAGTGTCCTCGGAGGTGTCACCATCGTCCGTCTCGGCTCTGATGCCAAACGGCTGTCGCGCGAGGATGATGGTAGCCTGCTGGGACGACAGGTCTCCCCGTGCCACCAACTTTTGCGCAATGGACAAAATTTTGTAGTGAGGCTCCAAGATGGGATCACTATTGCGAGTTTTGGGTACGACTGAAGCGACATCGATTGCATGCTCCAGCGCCTTGATGACACGGTCAACCGTCGGTTTCGTGGCGCGGTCCGTGGCGCTTAGGTTTTCGTCTGGCGTTTGATACATTTTCCACAGACATTTCGAGATCATGAATGGATTCCTACAAGGTTAGCTGGTTTCTTCCACCGTCATGCTGACTACTCACCTCCAGTTACAAGGTTTTCTCCGCATGGCCTTGTGGAAAAGGCCCGCCGCGTACTTCCACACCTTGTAGTCCTGCATCTGGTTGTGCAAGACCCGTTGGAACGTGCCCATGCCGGTGTTCTCGATAAACGTCCGCTCGTGGTTAGAGTGCTGGAATGGCTCCATGGCGAACGGTTCCCGGCTCGACGCGTACAAGCGCATGGCAAAATTGTGATAGAGATCATGCAACGGGTCTCCCTCTTCATAGTCCGTGTCAGCCCCCACAGACTTGGACAACGCGAGCGTGTGGCAGTGGATCGAGTTGCGCTGAAACTTGACAAGCTCGGCTCTGTCCTTGTTCATCTTGTCGGCAGACCAAACAACGGCATCCTCGACTTCGTAGTCGAAGCATTCGGCGAGCCGGAACCAGCCCTCCCAATTATTTGGCGTAAACTGCAGCTGGTGTCGCAGAAAGGTCGCTCCGATTCGCAGGTCGTCCATGGCACCGGGCGTCTGCCTTTTGCTGAGATCCACAAGCTTGTACTTGCTCAGAGCAATGGACCCGAGAAGGAAGAACCAACCGTGGTTGGCGAGGACCGTCTCGGGGGCATTGACGGACACGGTATCGAGCTCGACGCCGCCTCTGAGGGCTTGATACAGACGAAGGGGGTGTACCGGACGCTTGAAGTACTCTGTGTAGTTTCGCAAGTTGTGTACCATCTGTGGTGTTGACCGCACGGGGCCAATGGCGCCTTGCATGTGTTCAATGGTTGTCTTGAGCTCGGATTTCAGCAGATCCTTCATCGGCATCCGTCGGGCGAGAACCGTAATCTTGTCGGCCAGCTGTATCGTGTTGCGCCGCTCGAGCTTCTCCGGCGGACACCCGTGGTCCTGAACCTCCCAGATTCCGACGCCCAGCTTCAGTCCGTGTAAATCATACAGCACCTGTCCGAGGTAGTCTTCCCAGTTGTCAATGTTCTTCAGCTTGAGCAGCTCCATCCGCATCATCTTGAGGAAGATCTTGTTGGAAGCCTTGCAGCTCTTGCGCGGGCCCAGGACATTGTGGATCGCAGCGAGGTACTCGGCCAGGTCGCTTTCGTACTTGGGGAACACATCCGTGTGCTGGATGATGCCAATCTTCAGGACTGTATACTGCAGACACCACGTGCGTACCTGGATCTCCCGGAGCTTATTCATGAACGCCTGAAAGACAGAGCCACCCGAGGGCGCCTGTGTCATGCCGATCCGTATCTCGTCTTCCAAGGAGGCCGAGACGTGAAGCATGCAGCTCAGCTTTGCGAGAGCAGCTGCCGTCGCCTTGAGGTGGTCCTCGTCGACAATGTCGTAGGCGCTCTGTTCATTGAGCGCCAAGGACAGGGCGCGAATGAGGAGCTCGTCAAGTGACTTCATCATGCGAAGCAAGAGCACCGGACGGGTATCGTTTGGGTTCTTGAGATAGAGATCGCCCTCGAAATCAGCAACAACCATCTCGATGGCTCGTAGCTGACAGGAAAACTGTTTTGTCGCGTATTGTATCGATCCATATGCGTCACTGAGGCGTGACCAAAGGAATAACCGCAACTCGGTGCTCGTGCCTTTGATAAACTTCCAGAGATCCTGCAGCCCTTGACTGGCACAATCTCTGATTGGTATCCTCTTGTTCTTCCCCGAGGTGGCTTCCCCATCGCTGTCGCTTCTGGGCACATATACAGAGTCGGCGTTCAAGACTGGCTCCAGATTGTCAATAATGGCCACGGGATCGCTGATATCGTCCTGGAAGAGGCCCAAGAAAAAGTCCATCGTCGTCAGCTTGGAAATCTCTCGGTCAGCGGCAGCCGACGAAATTTCCGTGAGGACAGCATTGTTCTGCAGAAAGAGCGCCTCGACTCCTTCGTTCGTGAGAAATTCGCGCAGGCTGGTCCAGCACTGTAAAATGTATTCGCGCGAGACATTGTCGGTGAGGGTCGTCGAAAAGACGGCAGCCCAGAGGAACCTGGCGGCGAGATCGCTCCTGGGGTCGCGGCAGGCTTGAAAAAGCTCCGACGCAAATGCAAGCCATCGCGCGAGACGCCCCTTGGCCTCAACTCGGATACTATACTCGACAGCACTATTGGGATTGGTGATGCGTTCGTAAATGTCGAGGTGGAGCTCAAAGAGCATCTCGACAAGGTTGTGAATTCTCATCAGCTCCTGCTCGGCATGTTTCGACTGTGCAGTGGCCTCAATTTCATACTTTGCCATTTCGTAGATATCCTGATCGAAACGGCTAATGACATGCACAACCGCTGCCTTCATCATGTCCGACCACCTGTACTCAATATAGCTTGGTGCAATTGTCTTGAGCCACTCCCAAGCCATGTCCTGGACCGTAGTCCAGCCCGCGTTGAGACGTTTGGCGAAAGAACCGAGGCCGTGAGATTCGCGAAAGGCCGGGGATGCCGAGACTTTTTGGTTACCGCCTTTGGCGTGCTCGAGGAAGGCAGACATTCCGAGGGTGTCCGTCTCCTTCTTATTGATCAAAATCTTGGCATTGTCCGCACTAAACGAGGTAATCGTACTCTTGAGGTCAATCGTGGCCTGGCTCGTCGATTTGTCCGAACGATCTTCAGACGTGCACAGCTCGAGCACCTCTCCGATACGGTCCAGGACCGACTGGTCCGTGACGCCAATGTTCTCCAGTACGTCTTTTGTTTTTTGAAACAGGTGCTGATCCACCGCCTGGTACTGAGCGAGCTGGGTCGCGTGCAGTGCGCTCGAGTTGACGACCTCTCCGGCGCCAGCCGTCTCCCTGCGTCTGATTCTCTTGCTGCGTTTCTCGCCAGCGTTTTCGTCTTCGCCTGCCTCCGCGAGACCGGCAACCGACTGAGACCGCTTCCTCGCTGGGGCCGATGCGGTCTCGCCTCGAGGTTTGAGTCCATCGGCGGCTGCCGTCTCGTCAGCAGCCTCCGTCTTGGTCGCAGAGTCCGACACATCCATGACATCCGGCAGACCAACGTCGACGGCCGCACTGCTGACTTCCTCAGTGAGCTGCTTCTGTATGGCATCCGTGATATCCATCGCCTCCTCGTCGGGTTCACTATTGGGAAGGTCAATTGTAATACCCTTGCCCGTGAAGCCCACTTCGGCAACGAGCTGCACGAGGGCCATGCCCAGCTCGGACCAGGCGGCTGTGGGACAGCGGATCGATATTTTGGACTCTGACACGGTGAGGATTGATCGAGTCGCCTCGAGACTTTTCGTCGGATTGGGCAGGAACGGAATGGGGTCGAGATGGCGCTTGATGAGCGCCGGCATGTCGTGTTTGACCCAGGGCCCCAAGATGGGGTGCGACAGACCCATGTCATCTGATAGGGACCTGGAGATGCTCTTTCAGTTCCTCGCCTGCAAGATCCTCCGCCAGCGACGGGGGTTCGACCTCCTCGACGGTCGGATCGTCGTCAAGCTCGATGGCTGCCTCGAGGCAGTATCGCCTGATGCGGCCACTGTTGAGATAACCTGCCACTCGTGCAATTCGCCTCCAGAGCTCGGCATCTGAGGGGTCGCGATCGAGCGCCGCATTGAAATCAAGGAGCGCCTTTTGCGCTTGCTCTTTGACGTCGTCTTGCTGAAAGAATGCCTCGGGTGGAACAGCCGTCCTGCGTGCCGTGTGTTTTATCCGGTCGAGAAGGAATTGTCCGTGGTTCTTGTGCGCCAGGAAGAGCGCCTGGGGGAGGGTGCTGTCCGCTCCGTCTACCTCTCCTGATTGTATGTCGATACCGGCAGCGAGAGAGGCCTCTACAGCGAGCTGGCTTGCCGGCAGCTCGGCTCGTTCGTACTCGGTCGCGGCTTCGGGGTATTGAAAGATGTCGGATTTGAAGAGGTCATCGTATGCATCGGTCGCTTCATCAAAGAACCGAGGGCCTTGCGCATGAAGCTTGAGGGCGGTCTGGAAGCGCTTCAAGGCTTCGTCGATATGGATTTGTCGCGTGTTGTCAATCTCATCGTCAAGGTTCTCCTCCGGCTCGACATTGATGGCTTGGAACGCTGGCTTTCACGGGCTGTTAGTTTGAACCAACGGCGCTCAAGATCAGACTACAAACCATGATTTCGGCGTGTAAAACGAAACGTCAAGGGGAAAAGCTTGTATTGGAGAATCCCAGAGAGCCGTGGCCCGGACGTTGATGGAGTTTGTACAATTATGTGTTCATGGTTCGAATCCAAGCGTCGAACCTTCCTTTCTTCGCGTCGTTGGCTCGAATTGGAGACGCGACGGAGATTTGGAGCAGGTACATCCATCCCTGCCGATGAAAGCCAGGCTTGCCAGGCTGAAAGACAGCGTATGTGGCGTACCAGACATACAATTTGTGGCGACAACAAGGCTGTATGACCAAGCGTTTCCGCCAGGCACCGAGCACGATGGGGAGGGTCCGTGCAAGCTCCTGCAGCTCCAACCCGCCGCGAAATGAACAGCAGCTCGTTGTTGGATTCCCAAACACGATCGCAACTGATAACCCCTCCGGCTAGCCCACCGTCGTCCATCAAGGCTCGCCCCCTTTGCCAACGGGCACACTACTGAAAACGCCAATTCGCACTCGAGCGAGAAGAGATACAACACCCAGTACTCGACAGATCCCAGCCTGAGACACGAGCGCCCGCGGTGTTCACTCACCGAGACTCGGCTACCACCATGGTTTCGCCAGCGGTTCCCGAGTACGTCGTCCGATGCGATGGAGGGAAATATGACAGCACGCTGACATTGGCAGGCTCACCGAGGAGCACATTCACGAATCGATCGACGCCAGAACCGACTCGCTGATCTCCCTGCGCGAACTCGGTCCCCCAGATCTTGTGCATCTCCTGAAGCAACCCAAGGGTAACCAGGGCAAGCAGGTGTGTAGATTGGCACGTCTGTGAATCGCAGCAGAACCCTCTGACAAACTCGGCAGATTGGTGTCTATCACCACGTTACTGGTGTCGAGGCCTCCTCTTCTGCCAGTCTCGCCGCCTACATCAATACTCTGACGTACCGAGAGCATGGCCCGTCGGCGCAGATCAAGATTGTCGAGGGGCTCTACTGGTGAGTGACCCTTTCCACAGCCGAAACAATCGGTCGCTGACGAGACGTAGCTGTTACAATGCCTTTTCCCGACTCGACATGCGCGTGCACGTCACGATTCCCGGTTCGGTCGAAAGCTACTGCGTAGATGAGCGCGGAGAGAAACGCAAGGCCACCGACGAGCTCTGGCTTGAGACATATCTCTGCAGCGTCTTGCGCGCCTACTCGTACGCGGACGACGGAAGCGGAGAGACGATTCGCAAGATTATGGGTGTGCGCCGCTTCAACCCCGTCACAAACACCGAGACGGAACACCGGTTCCTCAATGCTGCCGAGCAGCTCTTCTTCCGAGGTAGGTGCATCCAGCGCCTGTTGCGCAATGCATTCTAACATTTGTAGGTTGGCAGCTGGGCTCCGATTCGGTCGTTCAAGTACCCAACAGCGTCTCGAACCACCTCACGACGGGCCTTCTGAAGTACTTCCAGACCACCGGTCGCTATGCATCCGGCATCAACCTGTTTGAGAAGCTGCGCACCCAAAACGTCGAGGTCTCCTCTCTTCTCGCCAAGGTTCTATTCATGGGCAACGAAGAAGTGCAGGGCATTCGTGTTCTCCACCAGGCTCTCAAGGAATCTCCGATGGACTACGTGATGCTCGACACGCAGGCCGAGTTTCTCCTAAAGAAGGCCGAGTCTGCGGCCACCCCTGAGCAGAAGGAAGAGCGTCTCCGCATGGCGCTAGGATGCGCGGACCGCAGCACAATAGCTGCGCCCAGCGAGTTCGGCACGTGGGCTCGCCTGGCGCAGGTCTACGTTGCCATGGAGGACTGGGAGAATGCGTTGACGATTCTCAACTCGTGTCCCATGTTCACCTACCAGGACAAGGATGCGCCGCAGATGCCAGAACCAAAGGATGTTCACCTCCCGACACTGCCAGAGACACGCCTCGACGAGATTGACAGCGAGCCGGAATCAAGGTACTCTGAGCAAGTCGATCCTAGCCTGCTGAACCTTCGTGCTTCAGTGTACAAGGGAACCTTTAAACAGGCGTACAGCATTCTCACGGAGATGGCGCAGAAGATTGGCTGGGACCAGCTCCTCAAGATTCGAAGCACCGTCTTCGTCATGGAGGACGAGTATCGCACCGAGAAGCAGGAGTCGACGCAGCCGAACACCATTAAGCGTACCGCCAGCACCGATGGTCTTCGAGGCACGCCAGATCCGACAACGAACGGAGAGCAGACCGACGACGAGGACGCCGTTGACGAGAAGAAGACTGCAGGCGACGCACCAGAGCCTGTCAATGGGGAGGCCGTTGACGGTGGTGCCGCCGCGGTTGAAAAGCCCACACACGCTATTGACCCCGGCGAGGTCAAGGCTGACCCTGAGGCTGTAGGTCGCCACTTTCCCCCAAATTGCATTTGAAGCCCGTACTAACTACGTAGACTCACCAGAACGATGAGCATCTCTCCAAGCTCAACAACAAGCGTCTGTGCGAGCGCTGGCTGGACAGCCTCTTCATGGTGCTCTACGAAGACTTGCGCGTCTACACCATCTGGCGCACGCAGATGGCGCAGTACCGCGCGCAGTCGATGCAGTACCGCAAGTCGGCGGAGGAGTGGGAAATTCTCGGGTCGCTGGCAGAGCGCCTCCAGCACATGGACGAGGCAATGGAGGCCTACCGATCATGCTTGGCCGCAAGGTTCAGCCCCAAGGCGCTGGCCGGCATCCTGCGCGTTTTCGAGCGCAACAAGAACACAAGGGAAGCCGTCGCGGCATTTATTCGCTTGGTGACGTGGCAGTACAGATGGTATTCCGAGTTCTCCCCCGAGCTGCTCCGCACCGTCCGCTCGCTCATTGAAGATGAGGGTGCCGTCAAGGTGCGGAGCATCATCCAGGCCACGAGCATGCCTCAGAACGTTCTCGACCTGACGCATCACTACGCGGCATTGTGCGCCAAGTTCCGCAGCAGCGGCACCGACGGTTAGCGGAGGGGCGATCCAAGGAATGGAGGCGAGAACAGGATGAAATTTTACGATTGAAGGTTTTCGAATTAAGCCTGGGCGGTGCAGTCCAGCTGCCTTCTGGCAAGCGCTCAGGGCAGCCATTATAGCAAACTTTCGGGCCGCCGACGGCATTTATATCACAATGAACTGTCACACTCTGCCACCTATCACGTTTGGGCAACGCCGTACTGAATGAAGCTCGGAGTGCCGATACTGAGAAACACGCATGTGCTCTGTGAAATGAATCGTGAAGCACGTTCCACTGTAAAACGTTCAACCTTTAGCATCGCACCGGCTTCAGCCTTCCAACACCAACCCACACGACGGAGCGGCAGCATCGGCGATTCTGAATCTCGATTTATTTTGTCCAACGAGCGATCGATCAGTAGTGATGCTCGACGCCAAGGTGATGCTACATTGACCGGAGCTGACCTCCGTGTGTTGGAGACCTTCTCCACAAGGGGACCACTAGTTGATGGATATCACGAAATCATGACCATCATAGAGGGGCATCGTGATATCAGTCCAAATGACGAGGAATGAGGTCATAGGGGTCCTGATGTGTTGAGGCGCGCCAGCCTTCAAATACTCCAGAGCAGCGGCCCATTTGCTTCAAGGCGTTCATGGTACCATTCGCCTCTCTTACCTTTCCTAACGAAAACGACAAATCATTGATACCCTACTGCTCATTTAAACATGTCTGCACCCTCCGACGAACAGCTCAACAGGATCGCGGCGGATGCCGAGGCCGACCTCAACAGCTACCAGGCTAAGACGGGCGAGGCCCGCGAGCAGGCCGACGACGCCGCCGGCGTGAGGTCCATTCCCGAGAACAAGTTCCCCGGCGCGGATGTGAAGTACGGCGACGACCTCTCCACCAATGCCGGCTACAACAAGCGCATTCCTCCCGAGGAGGGCGGCGATCTTGACGCCCGCGGACGGTAAGATTCATTGTGTACTTTACGGCAGGACACATTTTTACTCACAGACGCAACAGCCAAGCACGCGGCGAGCTCTACGATCACAACAAGGGCGACGGTGGCCCCGCAGCGGCTCTTGACGCCAACGAGCCCAGCGGCGCCAACGACGGCGACGTGTACCGCATCCCGGGCATCGACTCTCTCGGAGCCCAGGGCCAGAAACCCGATCCCTTGCTGCAAGGCGAGGATGCCTCCATCACAAACGTGGGCCGCAACCCGCCCGGCCCTGGAGGCAGCAAGTTCAAGGGCGAGGACTACTACAAGCCCGAGTCGGTGCCTGGGAGCATCGCCGCCGAGGGCAACGTGCCGCCTGCGAGCGTGACGGAGGCGAGCCGCGAGACGGAGGGATATTAGGGCTGGTTCTCGTGTACTGATAGAATTATAACGATCCCATGATGATTACTTGATTCATGTCCACGTTTGATTTGTTCGTATGCGATGTGATTTTGAGAACATGGGACAGACAACGAGGGACGTGAGAGTTCGTCATTTGGTCTTGCCTGGATGACATGACTGGACCTTGCAGGCGTGGACGATGGGTTCCGTCGGAGGCCCAACATTGATGGATTGGCTGGAATGGTGCTGGGTTACAACTTCCAAGGCCTTTGTGCTTGGGAATAGCCCGATGAAGGTACTGAAGCTAGAGAATTCAGCAATATCGACTTATGTCGTGAAAGTAGGGCGATGACTGGCAGCGTTGAACAGCCAGGTACCTTAGGGACGTGATGTTCGGAGGTCTGGTCGTAATAGTATGCCGAGAATATACGGCACTCCATGATGTAAGCTTGGCACAGATCTCGAACAATTGGCAAATCAAAAGCTGGCTACTTTTCACGCGATGCCATTGGTCGGCACCAGCATTTGCACCCCGTCCAGCCATCGGATGCACCCCCCCGCCCAGGTCCTGATTGCTGGCAATCCTGCCCTAGCTCTCATTGCCGTGAGACTAACCCGATCAACTACCTGCCCACTGTCATGGTGATGCAACAGAGACCATGTTGGAATCTCCTCTAACGCCAATCTGACGAGGAGGACAGTTCATATGATGGACGAGAAAGACTTGGCGGGCACCACACTTCGCAAACGAGCCTATCATAGAAAGGTGAGAACGGGGTGTCAAACCTGCAAGTGAGTCTCCTGCGCTGCGCAGCGTGCAGATAGCTTGACATTCAGGGTCCCAGCTCAACAATCACAGGATACGCCGAGTGCGCTGCGATGAGGGCAAGCCTGATTGTCAACGATGTGTATCTACGGGGCGGAAATGCGATGGCTACGCAAAAGAGGATCGTAGCCCCTTGTCCGCCTCTGCACCACAAACCACCATAAGCCCAGGCTCGACGCGGGCTTCTGAACCCTTCTTCGCTCGGTCACAACACACCACCCTGGCCCTCCGGCCTACCCTGCCGCAACGATGCTCCAAAGAGGCTCGCAGCTATCGTTACTTCCTCGAAGTCGCTGGTCCGTCGCTCGCTGGCGTTTTCGACGGGGACTTCTGGCTCGCCGAGTTACCCCGTGCTTGCCACGCAGACCCGGCAATATGGCACGCCGTCGTTTGTCTCGGCGCGGCTCACGAAACGAATACCCTGGACTTCACCGTCGGTTCCTATCCGCCGCAAAAGATCTTCGCCCTGCAGCAATTTAGCCACGCGATCCGGTCGCTCACCGAACGACCCTCGCAGAGGACCGATATTTGGAGGGCCCTGACAATCAGTGTCATCTTCACCTGCGTCTGCAAGGTCCAGGGTCTCCATTCGCAGGCACGCATGCACCTCGCCTCGGGCCGTCAACTCCTCGAAGAACTGCAGTCGTGCGAAGAACAGCAGCCGGCACCACTTGGGGCCACTGCCACAGCATCGACCGTCCCTCCGCAGACGTCCAGCATCCCGATAAGCCTCGCACCCTTGAAGGACCTGCTCCTGAATCTCGAGGTCCTCGTCTATTTCAAAGACAACGGAGACCTGATCCAGGCCCCAGAGCTGGTAGCGGCGAGTAAGATCTTCCATCTGTGGCGTCTGTACGAGGCACCGCTGGAGACACCCACGGACTCGGGGACAGCTAGACCCTTGACCGTCGACAACTTGACACACGCCCTTCAGGCAATCGAGTCACTCTTCGGCGCACTTATCTACCTGCGTCAGCAGCTGGTGCGGCAATCGTCAAAGACGGACCCCAACATCGGCGACGGGGATCTTGGCTACTTCGTCGCACGCGAGGCGCCCTACGTTCGGTGTTTCAAGCAAGTGAGAAAGGCGCACGACCTCTTCGTCAAAGAAACCATCCGCAGCCCTGAGGCCCAGTCGGTCGTGCCTTACAAGGCGCTGCTGACCTTATCGCTGGCCCTCGCAGCCACACGACTCATATTTGTCGGAGATCCCGAGCTGCCCGACCAGAGCAAACGTGACGAGGATCTTCCGCAACAGTACGAGTACATTGTCAACCTCGCAGAGCGCATCCTCAAGCCCGACCACCGTCAGCACCTACCGTTTGCCAGGTCTGGCACGCTGCAATCTGCCCTGTTTGCCGTCGCGTACATGGGGAAGCCTCAGAGTGTACGGCGCCGTGCGGTACAACTCATGACGCAGTATCCTCGACAGGAAGGAATCAACAACAGCCTAGAGAGCGCCAGCATCGCCAATGCCATCATGACGAGGGAGCAGGAGCTGCTGCGACGGGAGCTTGTAGGACTAAACGGGACTTCTGCCACGGGCGAGGTCGAAGACCTCGAGGTGCCCCCGTTAAAGAGGCTGTTCAACTACACCGTAGAGTATGTCGGAGCCCGGTCGGCCATTGTGAAGCTGCACACTTGGGAGGAGCATACTGAGGAACGACCAGGAGAGGAACGGACCATTCGTTGGTGATCACCAGCCACCTGGCTTGTTTGTCAACAGCAGTTCCGATGACGCTGTACAGGGCCTGCGTAGATATGCGGACGACGCATGCTCCACGATCTTTTTCGGAGAACAACGTCTGCTTCAGATATCCTGTATCAGGCTCTCTACGGTTTAGGCCGACATGACTCGGGACTGACCTGATGCCGCATTGATAGAGAAGGGACCTGCCATCAGCAAGATCAGTTGTTTCAGCTTCAACCTTATGACTTTGCCGAGCATTGGACTCGTAATATCATGCAAGCGAGAATCGCAAACACCAGTACAGCCTCTGCTGATGATTTTCGTGTCAAAAAAACGCCGCATGTACGCGCCGTGGCTACGAAGTGGGACTTGGGCGCCACGCTACCGGCCGGAGGCGAGCGATTGCTGAATCGCCTTCCAACCCCGCACTAGCCGCCCACGAGAGGCTTCACGACAGGAGCCCCTTTACGGAAGCCAAGGTTGATAATCAAAGTCCACCAAGTGAGCATTGCCGACGTCCAGCTGCAATCTCTCCATCAACTACCTCCATCATGTCGTTCGGCACAAAGGCAAAGCTCAATACTGGCGCCTACATCCCGTACGTCGTCGTATATCCCGGCTGACCAGCACTGACGCGATGTATTCAGGACACTGGGATACGGCACGTGGCTTTCGGATCCAGGCGTTGTCGGTGCGGGCGTCTATGAAGCTCTGAAAGCTGGCTATCGTCATCTAGTGAGCCCATCTACACGCAGACTCGTTTCAATGCTGACCGCAACATCAGGACCTGGCGAAGATGTGCGTGTAGTGACCACGATTGAAGGCAACGCTGACCTCGATAGCTACGGAAACCAGAAGGAAGTTGGGCAGGCCATCAAGAAGGCTCTTGCTGAGCTGCCGGGGCTGAGGCGTGAGGACATTTTTATCACCTCCAAGCTGTGGAACACGTGAGTCGGCCCAACGGCGAGACGCTGATCGCTTCTCACAAACCACAGCGAGCACCGCCCGGAAAATGTCGCCCCTGCGCTGGAAGATACTCTGAACGAGCTCCAGCTGGAGTACCTCGACGTTCGTAGCCTTCTGTATCCCTCTGCCTGCACGACTGACGTCCGTAGCTCTACCTGATTCACTGGCCCGTGGCTTTCAAGAAGACCGATGGCAACCCATTTCCCGTGACTTCTGACGGTAGTGAGGTTGATCTTGATCTCGATGTTTCCATTGTTGATACGTGGAAAGGTCAGGCACCCTCAGCAGTTGTTCGAGCAGCACGCTGACCCTCACAGCCATGGTCGAACTTCCCAAGTCCAAGGTCCGCGCCATCGGCGTCTCCAACTTTGCTGCCCCTCACCTGCAGGCTTTGATCGACGCCACGGGAGTGACGCCCGCCGTCAACCAGGTCGAGCGCCATCCCCGGCTGAACCAGCTGGATGGCATCGTTAAGTACGCTAGTGAGAAGGGCATCCACATCACGGCCTATTCTGTGAGTATACCTCCTGCTGTCTGTATGGGCAGTTGCTGACTGCTGCAGCCCCTCGGCAACAACCTCGTTGGCGAACCCATGGCCATCGAGGACCCAGTCATTAAGGGCATTGCCGAAGGGCTGTCGGCGACGCCGGCGCAGGTCATCTTGGCCTGGGCCCAGGTCGGCGGACACAGCGCCATTCCCAAGTCTGTCACGCCCGAGAGAATCCAGTCGAACTTCCAGGAGATCAAGATTACCGACGACGACTTCAAGGCGATCAACGAGCTCGGCAGGGTGGAGCGACGTTTTGCCATCCCGTTCACCTGTAAGTGCAGCCGCATGGCCTTGGAGACCTATCACTGACGACTTCAAGGGCAACCTCCGCACCGCATCAACTTGTTCGATACCGCGGCGGAACAGAGTGCGCCTCGAAAGGTCAATATTGGCGCCAATCAACTCTAGGCATTTCCTTCCTTTCTTCCTTTCTTTCTGGAATCTTTTGCATTTATCAGCGTCATTCAGGCCCCTGTCGGGCATGTAGCTCAACCTGCTACTGAAAAAGACATATTAAAACCTATTATAAAGGCAAAGGTGTGGAACATGCGTTCCCGTCAAGCCCGTGTAACTTCAACAGTAGGATCCAAACTTAGAACCCAATTACTCCTTTGTGCCTGGACGGTGATGTCATCTGGCGTATTTCAGTGGGTTGATGCTACTCATCAAAAGGTACGCACGTAGTGATAGACTACAGTCTTCTTGGCCGCCTCAATCACATTTGGCGACATTTGCTCCTTGCTGTACCATTTTGCCAACATCCGACATAAGAGAGAAATAGGCTTCCTCTCTGAATCATCGTTTAAGCACAGATGCCTATTTCTGATGGTCTCAGGGACGCCGAGTCAGGAAATTCCACGCAGGAGAAGATCAGGAAGCTCAAAAAGACGTCATAGGTCCCAGCCCTGCACCCTTTGGAGAGACATCAAGCGCTTCGAGATCAGTATTATACATGCCGTCACCGATTAAATATCCAAGCCCTTTCGGTGGGCAGGATGATATGACGAAGCTTAGAAGGCCTCACACGGTTGCGTCAGACCCTGAAGGTCCTCCCCTCCAGCGTCTATTCCTCTCTGACCTTCTCGCCCGCGCGATGTCACCTAGCAGTGTCTTTGCTTTGCGTAGCACAACACTCACGTCTTTACCCACCTAGATTCAGGCTTCCATGTCGTCAGTCGTTCCTTTCCCTCACGTCCACCTCGCGTTCGCCTCCTCGAGGGGGCTACATCTCCGAGCTACCTACAGGCAAGCGAGTATTCGGATGCACTGCTACGCCTGACCCAACTATACCAAGTGCTTGACTGAATAGTGTGAATCACTTCCAATTAAGATGTCGGATAACCAAGCTTAAATTCGTCTTGTCATTTGGGCAGTGGCACGAACGGTACGTAACCCTCTAAAAGAATATATCACTCGATCTGCATTCCCATATGCTCATCTGCTGCATACAAGCATATTCCGATGATGTCATGCACGATCACTCTCAGGCAGGTCATTGCAGCACTCATCTTTGCACCTTCACCATGGCGCTCGCAGGAAAAACATCGACATGTATGAGATCTATGCGGTGAGTCAATCGCAATTGCGACGCCGCAGTTCAGCTGACGGTGCTAGGCCGGCGCGGCGGCGGCGTTCACGGTGGACTGCCTGATCTACCCGCTTGATACCCTCAAAACGAGATACCAAAGCCAGGACTTTGTCCAGACATATGCATCCTCACCAGGCAGCGCGAAGCCGCAGCTGTATCGCGGCCTCTACCAGGGCATCGGCAGTGTCATCCTCGCCACACTGCCGGCAGGTACGCTGACTAGCCCAACTTCTTTCCGTCAGCGCGGGCTGACATAAATACAGCCGGCATCTTCTTCGCAACGTACGAGAGTATGAAGCGCACAATCTCGCTGGCCGTGCCGGCGGCACCGCAGCCGCTCGTTCACTCATCGGCCTCGGCAATCGCCGAGATGGCTTCGTGCGTGGTGCTGGCGCCTGCCGAGGTGATTAAGCAGAATGCGCAAATGCTGCGACAGCAATCGGGCGGATCACAAAAGTCGACATCGCTCGAGGCGCTGCGGCAGGTCACAGGCTCGGGGGCGAGTCGACGTTTGTTCTCCGGTTACACGGCTCTTGTTGCGCGCAACTTGCCGTTTACGGCCCTCCAGTTTCCCATTTTCGAGTACGTGCGACAGCAAACCTGGGACAGTCGACACCCGGGGCAGGCACACGACTCACACGGGCTGCTCGAGACGGCCGCAGTCAATGGCGTGAGCGCTGGTTCGGCGGGAGGATTTGCAGCCTGGATCACGACGCCGAGCGATGTCGTCAAGACGCGAATGATGCTGACAGCAAGCGATGACAATAATTCGTTGGGGAAGAAAACGAGCCGGGGCAGCGTGGCTGTCGCGCAGGACGTGTACCGCAGCCACGGCGTCAAGGGGCTGTTCCGCGGCGGCCTTTTGCGTGCGAGCTGGACAGCTCTGGGGAGCGGACTGTACCTGGGGACGTACGAGATGTCAAAGGTCTGGCTGACGCGCGGGAAAGATGATTCAGAGGTGCTGGGCGCTGTGTAACGTGAGGCCCAAAAGAAACGTAGCACACCATTACAATGCTGACCAACGTGGAATGCTTTGCAATCGGTGTCTTCACATGATGGAATGAATGTTGAACCCATCAAGTCTTCCGCGATCGACCCTGCATCCGTAGTTCGGCGCGCAATTGGACAGTTGCGATGCCCCTGCGTTAGTTGGGGTTTATGTCGAAAACCCAGCCTCGTAAAAGAGCAGTCTTGTTGCGAGTCGTAGCAGAGGACCGGCCGTCATGTGCTGACGTGCTGGCAGCCTCTACTTGCAACCGGCGAGACCGACTCCGAAATGCCCTTCTGGCATGTTCTCGGTCTGGCACCGTCCATGCCAGGAAAAGCCATTTGAGTGTCCGAGTCGCAACAATAAAACAGGCCCGAGCGGTGAAGTGGCAGGGCCGAAACCAAAGTCAGAGTAGCCGTCTTGCATCAGCGACGCGGGCGATGGCGCCATCTCCCCAGGTTATGACCCAAGACGAACCCTCAGTGCTAGCGACGCGGCAATCTCGCCCCTTCATCCCGCCTTGGTCAACCCCCCCCCCCCCCGCCCCGTGATATGGCGAGCTCGGTGAACACGTCTGCTTGACGTCCACCGCTTTCTGGCAATTCCCGTTGCGTGCAGACTCCTGCGCAATGCTTTCGCCCATCCGATGGCGGATGAGAAAGCTTGACCCACTGCGCCAACGCTGAGGTGATCCCGAGTCGGGAAGACGCCTTCTGCCACCGGGCTGTGACGCAGAATTCAAAATGACAAGTCTATAAGGGCTGTCGGTGCCTTTGTGCTGCCTCTGTTCCGTCTGTGTTGTTTGGTCATCGTCCATTGTCCTAACGCTGTAAAGTGAAGAAAAAGAGTCGCAGCATCACCGTCCACTTCACGACCGGCAATCCTCCAGACCACCTCCAACATGGCCACAGCATTGAGCTCCTTGATCCACCTCGCGGCCCCTGGGCTTCGCAATGAGGCCAGCTTGGCTCTCAAGCAGGACAGCACCATCTCCGTCGCCGAGGTGGAAGCCCGCGAGCAGGCCCGGTGGTTGGTGCACTCGCCCTACACCGAGCGAGACCATCAGCTCGACCTGCACACGCTCGACCACGAGAATGCCCTCCTGGCGCGGGCCATGACCAAGATGGAATGCACCAGGACAGACTATGCCACAGCGCCATACACTGAGTCCTTCAACTGGCAGGACGTGCACGATGAGCTTCGCCGGCTGGTGAAGGAATCGGGAAAGCCGTTCAAGGAAACTTCCTTTTACGTAGTCGTCTTTCTCTCGCAGATCCCGCCGACGACGGTCTACGCGGACCTCGGCGCCCTCGACAAGGAGGCGCACCGCGAGGCCAACGAATTCGGCGGCTTCCTCAAGTAAGGCCGCTCCCTTGATAGGAAGAAGACATGTCCAACTTACACGCCGACAGGTACTGGTTTGGAGCGCCAGATGCTGAAGGTCGCAACCTGGCGACGTGCTTCTGGCGATCGCGACCTGATGCCGTCAGAGCCGGACACGGCCCAGCTCACCGCAAGGCGGCACGGGCGACGGCATCGATGTACTCTTTCTGGAAGATTGATCGACACAGGCTCATAATCAAGGATGACGCCGAGAGCTTCGAGTTCATCGATTGGGAGGATTAGGTGCTCGCCGTTCCCGCTGGCGGGGACACAAAGACCTGGACGTGAATTATGATACATGACGGTAGAAAAGGCATGGCGTTTGGTCGTTGTTCGAGAGTAAATGTCCAATGAAAATTCGTTCGCATTTGTTTCCAAAGCGTTGCTGAGCTGCTGTTGTGGTGATGCTCTCTGGACGAAGTAGTGGGGATTTGTCTGACTGAGGAAGCACCAAAGGACTGGGCGGGTTTCGAGGAGCTTTAGCATGAACCAAGCCCACCAGTTCCATCGACATTAAGCATCCAAAGCACACCAGAAAGCACCGAAGATGGGCTGTCGTTAGTTTTAAGAAGCCAAGACAGACTGCAAGCGTGGGGGTTCAGCGTGGGCTCAGCGTGGGTGTGCGCGGGATTGAACATTTTCGTGACAGCATCACCATGAGCTCCAGTGGGCACTGGTAAAACCTGGCACCGACAGCTGGCAATGAGGGGATCCTCCCAAACAGGTTTCTGCCACCTCCTACCGCCCAACAACCCACAACCGCTCCCACAATTCAACACCAGCGAAATATCTTTTCGCATCTACGACCGCCGACGAATCCAGGCCCCGCGTTGCGACACTACGACTCCCCCTTTCCTTACCGACCGTCACGCACCCAACTCTTTGAGTCGTCCGTTCCATCGTCAAAACCCGCGAAACCTCTGCAAAAATGGCGGAAGCTCAAGCGCCCCAGGATGCGCCGTTCAACTCGGTCGTGATTGAAGCTTTGGTGAGTCTGCCCCACCTTGGGCTGCTCTCGAACCACGCAGCAACCGGCTAATCCGCAGCTTTCCAGGTCGTCATGAAGATTGTCAAGCACGGCTCCTCGACCTTCCCGACCGTCGCTACCGGTGCGACCGTTGGCCTCGACCGCAACGGCGTCCTCGAGATCACCAACTCGTTCCCCTTCCCCACCGTCGACGTCTCCAACTCCGACTCTCACCAGAACAACGACGCCTCCGCCCAGGCGTCAGCTGCGCCGAGGCAAAAGTCCAACATTGTTTACCAGAGCGACATGATCAAGCACCTGAAGGAGGTCAACGTCGATGCCAACAACGTCGGCTGGTACACGAGCGCCACCATGAGCAACTTTGTCAACCTCAGCTTCATCGAGAACCAGTATCACTACCAGAAGGACAACGACAAGACGGTCGCCCTCGTGCACGACGTCAGCCGCAGCTCCCAGGGCTCCCTGAGCCTGCGCGCCTTCAAGCTTTCCGCCAGCTTCATGGCGGCGTACAAGGAGGGCAAGTTCACGACGGAGAGGTATGCCGCCCCCACCGACCAACACGAATGAGATGAAATATTGACGATCGTAGCCTGCAAAAGTCCAAGCTCTCTTTCAAGGATATCCTCCAGGAGTTCCCCGTCACCGTCCACAACACGCACCTCCTCACAACCTTCCTTCACCAGATCCCCCAGGCGCCCCAGGCCGACGCGCTCGAGCACCCGACGTCTGTTGGCGAGCTGCGCGACGACCCTTCGAGGCAGCCCCTGTACCCTTCGGTCGACAACCTCGACCTCTCTATTGACCCGTTCCTCGAGAAGACGTGCGACCTGCTCCTGGAGAGCATTGACGCGCACTACAACGAGGTCAACAACTACCAGTTCTACCAGCGCCAACTCGGACGCGAGCAGGCCAAGATTTCGCAGTGGCAGGCGAAGCGCAAGGCGGAGAACGCGCAGCGGGTGGTGGCCAAGCAGGCCCCCCTTCCGGAGGACGAGTGGCAGCGGCTGTTCAAGCTGCCCCAGGAGCCCAGCCGCCTCGAGGGCATGCTCAACGCGAAGCAGGTCGAGCAGTACAGCAAGCAGGTTGACGGGTTCACGGCCAACATTACAACCAAGATGTTCGCCGTGCGGGAGAACCTCATCCCCAAGCGTGCTTGAAGTACGTCAGGTGCCTGGAGCGGAGCGTTCGGGAGGTTTGTACCAGAGTAGGCTGGAGGGGCAGCAAAAGGGAATGACGGATGAACTGGGATCTCAAAGGGCAGCGGATCCATCAGCATTCTAAACGGCGTTCAGGGCTACTGCGTGTCTCGGTATGCAGTGCAGTGGGTAATCGAGAGGTTCGGTCACGTCTTTTTTGGTGTGGTGCAGTGTTTGCCGTGATGAGACATTTGTGACCTGTCTGTAACCTGGCGTGTGATCGGCGTTGGTTTGGTGCACACCGAGTCCTGGCCACGACTCGAGCATCGCCCTCGTCAATGATTCCGGATGAGCAGCCTCTCTATATCCCACATGCACCCTGATGCCGGGCAACGCCGCGAGCCGTCCGATACCGTTGATTTCTTCAGTAGTCATGTATGGCCAGGAGCTACGGCACGTGGTGGGGCGCTTCGAGGGATCGTCCAAGAAGGGTTTAGTGCGGGACTGACGTTGAAAGGGTTCCACGAGCGGCAGCAAAACGCGATTCATCGAGGGGTTCGGCTTGTGTCGAGTTGAATGGCATGGCCTCTTGTCTTTTTCTCCTGGAAGGCCTGGCAGCAGCGTGAATGTGTAACCAAGGTAGGTAGGTATATTATGGTACTCTGGAGTGCTCGGTCTAGCTCGGAATTGAAAACCTACTAAGAAGAGCGAAAAATAAAGAAAAAAGGTACAGCCCAATCGCCCGACTGCCCAAGACCCCTCCTCCAGTTGACTGCCTTTCTACCCTCTGCCCCGCACCTGCAGCAGATCCTGAGCATCTCCCCTCACCTGGCCGGTCGCCTGCCCCGCCTCCCAGCAACGAAAATTTCCCTCCTTACCCGGGGCCAGCCAACAAACAGCTTGCTTTAAGGTCCAGATTCACCGCTCTCCATCTTCTTTTTCTCCCCTCCCCTTCCTTCCTTCCTTCCTACACACTCTCGTCTTAACAGACAAACCATCTACCCCCTTTTCTCCCCCCTTACCACCCATATACCCCCTCCCCACCATCACAATGGCTGCCCCCGCCCACAAGTTCAAGGTCGCCGACCTCTCCCTCGCCGCCTTTGGCCGCAAGGAGATTGAGCTCGCCGAGAACGAGATGCCCGGTCTCATGCAGACTCGTGCCAAGTACGCTGCCGACCAGCCTCTCAAGGGCGCCCGCATCGCCGGCTGCCTTCACATGACCATCCAGACGGCTGTCCTCATCGAGACGCTGACCTCGCTCGGTGCTGAGGTCACCTGGACGTCGTGCAACATCTTCTCCACCCAGGACCACGCCGCCGCTGCCATTGCCGCCGCCGGTGTCCCCGTCTTCGCCTGGAAGGGCGAGACCGAGGAGGAGTACAACTGGTGCCTCGAGCAGCAGCTGACCGCCTTCAAGGATGACGGCAAGCTCAACCTCATCCTCGACGACGGTGGTGACCTGACTGCCCTCGTCCACTCCAAGTACCCCGAGATGCTCAAGGGCTGCTACGGTGTCTCTGAGGAGACCACCACCGGTGTCCACCACCTCTACAAGATGCTGAGGGAGGGCAAGCTCCTCGTCCCCTCCATCAATGTCAACGACGCTGTCACCAAGTCCAAGTTTGACAACCTCTACGGCTGCCGTGAGTCCCTCATCGACGGCATCAAGCGCGCCACGGACGTCATGGTTGCCGGCAAGATTGCCGTCGTTGCCGGTTTCGGTGATGTCGGCAAGGGCTGCGCCATGGCCCTGCACGGCATGGGTGCCCGTGTCATCATCACCGAGATTGACCCCATCAACGCCCTGCAGGCCGCCATGGCCGGCTACCAGGTCACCACCATGGAGAAGGCTGCCGCGCTCGGCCAGATCTTCGTCACCACCACCGGCTGCCGTGACATTCTGACCGGCGAGCACTTCGAGGCCATGCCCAACGACGCCATTGTCTGCAGTATGTCACCCCACACCTTGAAATTCTGCATGAGACTTGTTGCTGACCCATGATGTAGACATTGGCCACTTTGACATTGAGATTGACGTTGCCTGGCTCAAGGCCAACGCCAAGGCTGTCCAGAACATCAAGCCCCAGGTCGACCGCTTCGAGATGAAGAGCGGCCGCCACATCATCCTCCTCGCCGAGGGCCGTCTCGTCAACCTTGGCTGCGCCACCGGCCACTCCTCGTTCGTCATGTCCTGCTCCTTCACCAACCAGGTCCTCGCCCAGATCATGCTGTACAAGAGCGGCGACAAGGCCTGGGGTGAGAAGTACGTCGAGTTCGCCAAGGCCGGCAAGCTCGAGGTCGGCGTCTACGTCATCCCCAAGATCCTCGACGAGGAGGTCGCTCGTCTCCACCTCGAGCACTGCAACGTCGAGCTCAGCACCCTCACCAAGGTCCAGGCCGACTACCTCAGCCTGACTGTCGAGGGTCCCTACAAGAGCGACATGTATGTTCCGGCCTCCATCCTCGCCCCTTTCGACCGTTTGCTAATCGTCCCGTGTCCAGCTACCGCTACTAAACAACCACATATCATCAACCCCCACGCGTCCTTCTTCAACAACCCCGACTAATGACTTCAACGACTGCACATTGCTCACGCACGACTTTTGGGACACGGAAGGCAAAAAGGGGGCCCCCCGCATTTACACACTGGGACGGAATCCAAAATCTCGCACAGGGCCGGGCCGGGCCGGGCTGGGCTGCGGGATCTTTTTTCAACAAAAAAGGCGTTGGCTATGCGGTAGCAAGTGATTCCCCTCCAAAGAAGAGCGAGACACCACGCAGCGGCGTGGCGCTTTCCCATGGTTTCCTTTGTTGATTTTGCTTTTGATTTTGTACATCCGTCAAGGGTTTGGCGGATGAGAGATGAGAGCACCGTGCGCGCCGTCGAGATACAAGGCGGAGCGCGCAGGCTGGCGATAACATACCCAGGCCCGTCAACCGTGGCCGCCCCTTTGCAGCTAATAGACTGTGACAACACCAACCCTTTTGCCACGCGTGAGGTTTGACTGCCACCTCGACCATCACTAGTGTCAGAGGACTTGTATAGACGCTTATGAAAATTCATATTCGCTGTCAAACTCTGCTCGACCTAGAACTACCTGCTATGTTCATGTGGCGTTTACGAGGAGCATGTTTTCAATTGTTCGGATTCTTGTTCCACCTCAGCGACACAGTTAGGTCGTCCTACGCGCCCTGACGTCTTCTCTGCCAACACCACCTCTTGTATTGCACCACCTCAACTGCCCAAGGCAGGGCCGGCTTGACGGCCCCTTCAATCTCACCCGTTGCTAACTTGTGAGCAAAAATGTCCGGGGGCAAGGCATAGTCTCCGCTAGGTAGACCCGTGAGCACCCACCCTCGAGCCAGTCGAACATATGTCCATATGTCCGGAGTCCGTATCGTCCTCAGGTCGTGTTGAGGTGCAAAACCACGCGGCACCTCCAGTGGCCCGTATCCGGCCATCTTTGACAACGCGGGGGCTCTCCAGTAAGGCTGCGGTCCACCCTAAGGTCCAGCGACGGGGATCTTCTGCTCTGGTACTATGCTGCGCAGCTCCCCTTGCTTGATGGCCGACACAACATTGGATATGGTCCACTCCTCCATCTTGGTCTGCGTCTCTTCAGTCCACGTGCCCATGTGTGGAACTATCAGCACGTTGGGATTGGCAAGGAGACCCTCGTGGACTTGCGGCTCGTTTTCGTAGACGTCGAGGCCGGCCGAGGCGACATGACCCTTGTCAAGAGCGGCGACGAGCGCGTTTTCGTCAATGACGGCACCCCGGGCTGTGTTGACAACGATTACGCCTTTCTTCATTATTTCAAACTGCGGGGTCGAGATGATGTGTCTGGTATTGTCCTGGAGTTTCAAAGTCAGCCAGGCAAAAGACATACTGCAGCCACGAGGATATACTCACATTCAGAGGTAGATTGAGACTGATGACGTCGCTCGTCTTGAGTAGCTCGTCGAAATTGACGTACCGGGCCTCACACTCGGCCTCCAGTTCAGGGGCAATGGGTTTGCGGTTGTGATACTGGATCTTCATGCCAAAGACGCGGGCCTTGCGGGCCATGTTGCGACCAATGCCGCCCATGCCTAGGATACCGAGGACCTTTCCCTGAGGGTCGTGGCCGAGGGCGGGCAGCCTCTTGCCACGCCACTCTCCTTTCCGCAGCGAGGTGATGCTACTGTTCAGGTTACGTAGAGCACCGAGCATGAGCCAGATGCCAATGTCTGCCGTGGCATCGTCGACAGCGGTCGGTGTGTTGGAGACGCGTATGGGAGGTTTATCCTCAAGGAAGGCACGGTTGCTGCAAGCAGCAATATCAATTTGGTCGTACCCGGCGCCTGAGGCAATGTCAGTCAAAGATTGGCCGAGCGCTCGGGTGGGAAATGTACCGTTGTGGCATATAAAAATGAGTGAGGCCGGGAGGGCGTCGATGAGTTCGCTGTCAATTCGCCCTGTGATCTTGACCGAGTCAAAGGTGCGGTAGGCGATGGTCGCGCCGTCAAAGGCACCGCTGCGGCATTCTTTGATGAAGTCCTCCCGGTTTGTAGACTCGGGCACGACAATTTCCGCAATCTCTTCGACCTGCTTCCAGGCATCGAAAGCACTGTGAGATGTAAGCCATTCTGGTGCTAGTTGCTGCAGGCCGCCTGTGAAGTCCGATATTGTGCAGAGCTTCCCACCTACCTCTCGATAATTCCCAAGCGCAGAACCTTGGGCCGCCAGGAGGCACGAGATGGGGGAGTCATTATGGGTTCCCTTTTTAGCAATGCGGATCCACGTGGTAAACGGTACTGCAGCTGATAACCGGATGCGTCAATGAAGATGTCTCGGGTAGTTGGTTGTTTAATTCAGGTTGGTGCCGTTGTGTGTGTCGTTCGCGGGGTCAATTGTGGTTGTTGATCAGTGGGTGGCAGTTGCCTTATCTCGGGGTCCTGCCTAGGGACTTTTTTTGGCGGGGTGATCGACGCGCGGGGTGAAAAGTGGCGGGAAGGAGCTGGGGGTATCTGGGAAAAGGAGCAGGAGAGAGGCACTCGTCTCCCAACCGCGACCCCATGTGATAATATAAGACGTTGGGGCTCGCCTGCCGTGATTTGATTCCTTAGATTTGGAAATGACGCGACGGGGTGATTCGGAGCTTGCGTCGGAAGGCATGGGCCATGAGTCCCCCATTCAGCGCAAGGCAAGGCCTCGTTGCCAGCACACAATACAGCTCAGGCGCCCTGACGACATGTACCCGATGGTCACAAAGCGAACCGGACGAGACCGTGATCGCTGCGGCATCGTCATCGGTCCAAGGCGGCACAGAAACGACAGGGTAGCAAAACTGCCTCATAGAACGGCGACATTGGGTCCGGCCGGCACGCCCTAAGGCTTGGCCAGGCGGCCATGGTCCTGGTTTTACCTCATTCTCGCCTCTGCTACTGCTGCTGTGAAGACCTGCTGTGCAAATCTGTATCCCCCGGTCCTTGCTGACAACGCTTGTAAGTGTATCTCTTGTCTGCCATGACTTGTGTGTCGCGGTCCGTTACTGCAAAGGCTGCTGCTGTTCGCCGGCCTCCTCGGTGGTATCAATTTGCATGACATCGCCTTGCACTACAGACGACGTGCGATAAACGGCATTGCGTCAGATAGATAAGCTGCGGTCCAATGCAGCTCAATCACCTCGTGCAGGATGGGCCAGCCTCGACTGCTCGTTCGAAACAGCGACGCACCGTCGATCCATCCTGATATCACCCTGCGAAAGCGCTCCCTCTGCGAGATAGAGTATCATCCTCACAGGCACATCCAGCATGAACCTATCTGTCATGTCTCGTACCCGCAGTCAGAGAAAAAACACAGCAGACAAGATAGCGCACAGCATCGACGCAGTTCCGGCCCGACCATCCCCTCCGGCCGGCTTCGGCGGCAAAAGTGGGACCCCGCCAATCCCGCACACCGCCACGACGCACCGAACAACCACAACGGGCGAGCCCAGACCGAGGGCGCACACCAGAGACAGGTCAGCCAACAGGGGATTATGGAGCGATATGTCCCGACCAGTGTCCCGTACCACACCACGGCCTGAAACTGCCAACCAGCGCCCAGCTAGGATGCCCCGTGCATGGCTCTCCTGCAGCCTCTTTCAGCATTGGTATCCAGGGCCATGTCGCCATCATAGCTACCGCGGGGGGAACCCGTCCTGTGGGCTGTGCCCTCGCACCCGATCAAGGGAAATGGTCTCAAGATGGAACTTGATGAATTTGAGGAATCTCTTCAGCGGCTGCACTACTGCCCTAATCTCAGTGCCTTCCCGCTCTTGCTTTTCACTTAATGTACATGAAGCTGCCATCCGCCGCCGCTGAGCTGCTGACCTCTCCAACTCCGAGGTGCCGATCGCCATGCACCTATACTTTTTTGACTGTGCTACTGATACAGCGTGCAGGCTCGAAATGCAAGCAACCGATGCAAGGCCGTGAATATTGCACAGAGAACCCGCAGGACCGATGGTCGTGGGGGGAAAACGTAAAGAAATGGAAACCAATGACTCCGTCCGACCGATTGACGCCAATGAGCCCAGCGTTTCGTTAAAAAGGCCGTACACGGCTACTCCTCCCACGACTGCTTCAGCACGCCCGTGTTGTTGAGGCGTCCGATATTGACGCCGGGGTTGATAAAGGACTGAATGGCAATCTCGCTGAAGCGACGCACAACGTTTGTCGTGCCACCAGACACCTGCGCCTCCCTGCGGATGAAGTTGCTGGCAACAAACAGACGGTTCTTCGGTTCGGATTCATCGGCCTGCTGCGGAATCGATGTCTCGTACCCAGGATCGAGTCTTGGCGCCAGCTCACGCGCAATCGCAATCGAGTACAACAGGTCGCGGTTCTCCTGACCGTCTAGGAGGGTCCTTATTCGGTTCAGCGCCGTCTCTCGCTCATCGTGCTTGCTCTCATACGTCGTGTCGGGGAGGCAGAGGAAGTGCGCCAGGTTGTACCAGAATTCGTATTCCCGCACGCGGTTCGTGTCGCTGTCGGCTCGAGGCGCCGTCAAGGGGTTGGCCGACATCATGAAATCGCCACGGAGGAGAACGTCGACAACAAAGACCCGGTTGCGAACCTCGACGGGGTCGGTTGGTGGTGGAAGAGGGTCATGCGGTCCCGCTTTGGAGAGGCTCGGTGGGACCACAGCCAAGGGAAGAGTTGCCAGTGTCCAGGTAAGACGCGTCTCGAGAACGCCTGATGCGTTCAAGCTGGCGCGGTCGTTGACGTGTGTCTTTTCGATACACTTGAGAAAGGCAGCAAAGACGTCCCGCGCACCACGTAGGTCACGGTAGAGATTCAGGGTTGATGGGTCCGTCATCATGCAGCCGAACCAGCGCGTCTCGAAGAAGGAATCGAGTCCAAAAGCGTACACTTCATGGTAGACGCGGGTGATTTCCTTGGCCACCTCCGGTGTAACCTGGCCGTCTCCCTCGGAAGGAGGTGATGGTGCGGGGCCTAGCAGGTCCAGGATTTGTTCAATCTTCATCTTTTTGGCTGAGAGAGTCGCGCGTGAGCCGGAGGATCCAATCAAATCAACAGTAAGGGGCAGGTATAGGCAGGAACGGAAAGGGGCGAGGGAGGGGGACGGCACCTCTCAAGGTCAGGTTGCCGCCGGTCGCGGATTGCTGGCCGGAAGCAAAATTTGGTGTTGATGCGAGCATGGGCAGGTTCTGCAGCGCAGGATCAATGGCCGTTCCGTAACCGTCCGCTTTGGCCGAGGCGGGAGAATTCAGGGCTGAGTCGAAGTGGGTGCTGGCCGATGGGGGAGGGCCGTAGGAGCTCGGCAGGACCGAAGGCTGCGAACCATAGGGATTGGAAGGCTGTAGTGGTGCAGGGGGTAGTGACGAAGGAACGGTTGGCGTTGATACGGGGGATTGGTGGTGACTGTTGAGGGCCGGCTGAATGTTTGAAGGTCCAGGCTGTTGCTTGAAGATGGGGTCGTATCCGGCGCAGTCGCGCTTGGACTTTTTGCAGTTGTTGCATGTCGGCTGGGCTTCATCGCACTATGTGGGACAAATAAAGTTAGCATGCTCTTCCATAATCATCATGATCATTGTCGCGGTGAGCATCCCTCATGAGGCGCGTCCAACCCCACCACGAAGAAACGTTTGCCCGGCGCTCCATACTAGCCGCGGATCACCTGCCGAGTGACATCGGATGAACGAACGGGGTGATTCTCGCTTCGCAGTAGCTCGAGATCAAGCGACCGCAAGCGACTCCAAGCGGCGTCTCGCCAAAACCCACCACCGCCACACCTCGTTCAACCCATTTCCTCTTGTTTCATGACTCCTGTGTATCCCGACTTCTTTCATCTCCAAGTCCCGCTTTTCTTTTCTTTCCTTTCGGCCTCCTGTCTCCGCATACGAACAAAACGCTCCCAAAGAAATAAGCAAGAAAGAAAGGAGCGACCAACCTTGATGCGGCGTTTGCGACATGTTAAGCATCCCGTCTTTGTTCGTCTTTTGATTTCCTGCAGAAAAGAATACTGATTAGCGAGGGATCCTGTGTGGCGACGGGTCTCGCCGTCGTAAGTCGGGTCAACCCAGAAGCCCATGACGTCGTACCTTCTTTGGTCCACGGGGACCGCTTCCGTACCGCATGTCGTGCGGGGGGATGGCATATCTAATGTTGTCGGAAGGCAATTGGTAAGGGTTCGGAGCCATTGACATGTGGTTATAGTACGGCATGCTCTGGGGGTGTCCCATGGACATGGGCATGTTCATGGGTTGTGGCGGCGCATGAGGCGAGCCATGCTGGTGAGAGTGCTGGTGATGTTGCTGCTGTTGTTGTGGTGGTGGCGGCGGCGGCGGAGGCGGCTGGTGTTGTGGCTGCGATTGTAACGCATCAAAGCTCTTGACGCTCGGCAATGACACCTGAGCACCGGGACTCGCTCGATATGGGTCGATTGAAGCTTGCTGCGGAGGACCACCATATCCGTACGGGCCAACAGGCGCGCCAGCAGGAGATCCGTACGTATTCGGGCTCGGATAGGTCCCTGGCGGCCGGTGAGGTCCAGTAGGGTGTTGTCCATGCGACATGGCGGGCGAGGAGGACGACCTCGCGTCGCCGTTTTGCTGGACAGCGTCGGTTGTCGAGACAGCGTTGGTCGTCGAGACGGCGGCGGCAGGAGCGGCAGGAGGAGGAGGAGGAGCGGCGGTCGAAGCAACGGCGTTGACGAGGGTTGATGCGTCAGATTCGGGTGCGGTTGGGGTCGCGTGCGCTGGTGATAGACTCGCAGAAACGTTCACAGGCGTAGCAGACGTCGGGTTCGTCGAGGGTGCGGTGGTCGTGGGCTGAGGCGACGGTTGAGAAGCGGCGGCGACGGCTAGGGAAGGAGGCGTCGAAGTCGAGGTGAGAAGAGGAGGAGAGGTGGGAGGAGGAGGAGGAGGAGGGGCAGCAACGGCGGTTGACGAGGAGGTCGTCGACGCAGAGGCGTCACCGGCAGGCTCTTGAGAGGTGTCGTTTGGAGCCATTTGGGATTTTAATTAGAAATTTTTATGGAGCCACGATTTGACGTCTCGATGGACAAGGGGAAGGGGGCAGAGGAGGCGCGACCACCCCTGAGCCGGGAGGGCGACGGCGGGCAGGCTGGCACGATCGGGGGGTGTGCGAGGGGAGAGGGTTGCGTCCCTGACGTCTGTCCCCGGTGCTCGTACAGGCACTGTGAGCCGCGGCGGCCACCGGGCAGCGGCGCAGGTAAGGGGGGGTTGCTGTATGCTTGATCGGATCTGTCCTTGTCCAGTCGAGTGGCGCGGGAGCAAGCCCAGGTCGAAAGAGGCCGGGCGGCGGAGGAGCAGGACGACCAGAAG